TTCCTTCCCTCCTCCTCTCTCTCTCTCTCTCTCTCTCTCTCTCTCTCGCTCTATACACACACAAGTGCACAATTATTTACATAATCAATATAATGACAAATTCTAAGGTGCCTCTTGAGCGCATTTTAAAACTTGAATTCGTCTGGAAATAATCCAGGATTATTTGGCACATCTCAGTTTCTTACGTCCTTTCACATGCGGCCTGATACTTGGCACGATATTGAACCGTCATGCACTGATTGGCTCTTAGAAGATTGATTTTTATAATAGCTAAAAATGGAGATAACGATTTTTTTTTCACCGAGGACACATCTCTCTACGTATTGCGCGTCCACTTTCACAATTTGTTTCACATTGAATTTAGCGTATCTATCTTTTCTCCTTGGACTAACATTACATTGGTTGATCTAATCACGACACAGTAGCCCACAATCCCTATACGAAATGACGACACATCTTTGTCGAGTTTACCGGAGTTCCTAGAGTCATTGCGAAAAAAAAGAAGAAAAGAAAGAATACAATGAAATTAACTTTCGATAAGAGACAATTATTGCTAACGCAAGAATATTAGCAAGATACAAGAGTCGCGCACCACTACGCGATTATCAAATTGTAATTTCCAAAAAAAAAACTACGATCTCTCTACAATTGAAAAATCATGATCTCTTTCTCACTTTTCTTTTCTACTACATCCTTTTTTTCTATTTCGCATCGATCCTTATTCGTAGCGGTACAATGACACAGATAAACACCTTTTACCTTATTCGATCGTATAGCATAATAATAGCTTCCTGTAAAAAAAACACTCAGGAGAAACAATAGTTTTATGCGAAATTTCCGAAAGCTTGTATACCGAACAGTTGAGCCTAAGCCTATTGCGAATCTACAGGTTCGAAACATGAGTTCGACGCTTTCTAAACAAACACGAAATTGTCTAGGGCGAACTGGTAAAACGCATTAGCGAGTTTTCGCCTTCTTCAAGATTGCAGACGTTTCCTCTTGCATTCGAAGAAACAGCAGGCAGAATCGTTATGTTTGTGGGATCGTCATTTTGAAATTCCTCTTTCTCTCTTTACAATAATAGCTTTCACTTGGTTAGAATAGCGGAATCGAAAATCTCTAACTGAAATTTCAATGTGAAAAAAACTGCGACTCTCTATGATCATGTGCGAAGATATTGTTGTGTGTGTGTGTGTGTGTGTGTGTGTGTGTGTGTGTGTGTGTGTGTGTGTGTGTGGCGCGCGCGCGCGTGTCACGTGATGTATGACTTATTCGCGGTAAAGAGAATTAATTAATTATATCATGCGGATTTCGTAATGTGCAATTACGTTAATACATTCATACGTGCTATGTCGAATGGGAGTCTTTTAAAAAAGACTGGCTGGAAGCTCCACTTATCAAAATTTATCAAAACGTATATGCGCGATCATAGAAAATCGCATGGTGTTCTCACGTGCCTCTGTTAGAAATTTTTCACTCTTAGGAGACATCAGATCAGGTACATTTCCTCACGTAGAACGGGCTAATATATAGAAAGAGCAAAACGCTCGGCAGATGTGCGTTGGCGCACCGAGAAGATAATACTTTTATACATTTGCGCATCTATACAATAATTTAATCGTTCGTCAGTCATGAGAATATAACCGCAAATATCTCAGAAACTCTCGACGTTACGAATGTATTTCAGTCGTGATTATCTCGGGACACCAAAATTAGGCTAGACTGCAGCAACTCTGTTTGAAATTCAAGCGTAACTTAAATTTAAAAATTCGGCCGATTATCGTCGCGCAATTTGATTCTATATTCACTTAAATTTAAGACATCGTTGATGCAATCGAGCCTTGAAAACGCTTTCGCTGTTACTATGACGATGATATATAAACACCGTATACTTTTTCTCCTTCTATACCAAACGCAAAAATCTACGTCGAGGAATAGTCCATCGCAGATGTGAGAAATTTTAGCAGGATATTCATTCTTTTTCTTTCTCTCATTTTCCTTTTCTTTCTTCTTCCTTAAAGATCGCTTCTGATAATTCTCCATCATTTTCATGGCACCAAAGTACGACAACACACGCGGAAGACTCTGTCAGGCGGGTAGTATTTGCAATACAGTAACCGGGGAAGATTTATGATTTGCGTAAGAAACATAAAACTATGTAACAGGCACCTGTAGAAGAATCAGTTCTCTCCGAATTTCTATCAGACTTTCTTCAAAGCTTGGAAAATCGCGTGAAAGCGAATTTCTCTTGCAAACAGTTACCGCAATACTGGCCTCCGATCGCCGTCCCCATCGTTGAGACACATGTAAAAACGCTCGTCCTAAGCGCAGCGATTAAAACTGAACTTAATTACTGAACCCAAGACGCAGGCACCCACTGAGGTTCCCTCTCGAGCGAATTGATCTCCGTGAGAAGCTGATTATACGCCCGATCTGTATCGTTATTGAGGATAAGCATGTCGAACAGGTGGCTATACTTATCCTCCATCTCACGCGCTTTCTCGATTATATCCTTCAATTCCTCTTCCTTAAAACTCTCGTTGTTCTTAATCCTCTTCTGCTTCAGCTTCTCAAGGCTCGGAGGTGCGATAAATACAACGTATGGCTTTAGATCCGAATTTCGCAGGATCTTGAGGCTCTGAGGATGCAGGTTTAACACACAGATTTTCCCGGAATTAACCACTGTTCTGATGGCCTCTACAGACGTGCCATAGTATGCTTTTTCGTACTCGCCGTGCTCGACAAACTTCCGACAGAGAATATCGGATTCGAACTGAGCACGAGAAATAAAGTGGTAGTCCTGGCCATCGACCTCAGAACCCTTTTTCGGACGACTTGTATCTGGAAATTGGAAAACAAGAAGAGAATACGCACTTGTGTTGTTGGATCAATATTATTCAAAAATATTTATTTTTAAAGTTATATAGTA